GGAGCGCTGTCCTTGATACGGAATTGGAATATTTAAGAAGTGTATGGTGATCCTAGCCACAACTCAGATAGAAGGAAAGCTCAGAATAAGTTACTCTTTTGGATAAAAGAAGAAGACTAACTTCCTTCCTCCAAATTATAAACTGGGGGGTGGGGGGTGGGGGGTGGGGGAGATGAGAATATTAAAATTTTTCATTTGTGCCCAATTTTCTCAATTTAAATGAATTTGCTCAGTGTCCTTGCAATCAGGCCAGCATATAATTAAATGGCAGTTTGGAGGACAGTGCGTATGTCTCTGAATTGAAATTGGGGAAGGAACATGGGGGCCCTCCCCCTGCACAGCCAAAACACAGGCTGAATCAGGCTCTCTCTGCTTGGGTCAGCTGTTGCTCCCCACACCCAGGCAACCCAAACCTGGAATAATCTCAGGCTTTCTCCTACGTCACCCTCTCAGGCAGAGGCCCTTTATCCCACCTTTGCCATCACGGGATATAGACAGAATGCGTCTTTTGTGGATCCAACCTCTAGGCCTCAACTCTTCCTGTCATCTTGGGGGTCTCTCCCCTGTGGCATCTCTTGCCCTCCCCTCCCCATTTCTACGCCAGACAGTCCTCTGTCTTTCACGCAGGTACCTGTGATCCCTAGGAAACAAAAGCTTTCCTTTTCCCACCCAGGGGCACACCTCACAAGCCTCTGATTATCACCTTGGTCACTCAGCTGGAAGCTCTGTCCCTGGCAACTCTTCCATTCATCCTCTGCTGCTTCCTGAAAGACCTCTAGCCTACCCCAGGCCTCTCCTCCACAATCTCAGGACCCATGCCCTCTTCATGCCCACTGCTCAGTCTCTCTGTGGCAGGCCCCCTCGCTTTTCTGAACCATGGGAAATTCTAGGAAGTTCTTCTAGGAACTCACACGGCTCCCCTGTGTCTCCATGAACCCAGCCTCCACTTCCCTCCTAGCATCCCCTGCACCTCCACGCGCCTGCTCTGCTCTTCCCCATCTGTGACCCCACCAAAGTCAGGACCAATGTCAGGAAACACCTGTTCTCCAAGGTGGAAGACTCAGTGAATGTTCACATTGAAACAGACCCTGGTGGTTTTTAAGCTCAAACCCAGGGACGCTAAACTCATGAAGCAGCACAGACCATTGCTTGGGCAACTTGAATTCTAAAGCTGCCATACACTGAACTAACAGCTGTCTCTTGGTAGCTTTCACTAGATGGCCATGGCTCTGACTTTGGAACTGTTCCCTTTAAGCACTGGAAGGCTGTCATCAAGAAGGATCCTGAGTGTGTATTCCCAGATCTTGTCCCTCCTCTACTCAAATCCTGAATCTCATCAGGATGAACAGCGGGTTTCCAGGCCCCCTTTCTCTGCCCTCTCACCTGGAGCTTCTTCCCGCACCATCCTCCTTCCCCTTCCCTGAGGGCTCTCTGCTGCAGGCACACTTGCCTCTCCCAGCTCTAGCACCCACGCTGGGGAACCACTTTTCCCAGCCATCTGGGCTGACTGCACCTTCACTGCCCTCAGGCTCAAATACCACAACATCAGGCAGGACTCCCCACAACCCTGTGTAAGCCAGTCACAGCCTCCCGCC